TGTCAGACAAAACTATTTCTTTACCATATTACATCAGCACGCTAAACAAAAACTAAAAACTGTTATTTAAACTGACATTCATGAGTCAGCTGTAACTTACTGGGCACATGAGTGAGACTCGTAAACTAGTTGTGGCGATTTCACTGTCAGGGTCTGCCGTGAGTTTTTCTTTAACTGTTACAATAGTGAAGAGAGGGTAGATTTAGTAAATGACAACAAAAAAAATAAGACCAGAGAACTGTCGAGTTTGATGGATCATATTCATATTTACAATTAAGATTTCATGGGTATCTTTTTTTCCTCCTTTATCAAAGAGGGAAGTGTTGCCTTACTTAAAGCTCTGGAATGGTCAGGGTTTCTGATCCCCTTCATTCTTAATCTCTGTAGCAACAGTGGAGAGGTCAGCTGCCGCACCAAGTAAACTGACATGGAGTATGTCTGAAGAAAACAAGAAGGAAGTACATATACATGCTTAGTATATAGAAAAGGCTAAAGCAATGTTAAAATCTGAATGGATGAAGTAACAGGTATAACGGGACTTCACATACCTTTCCTATTTCAGGTGCCCACGTGACTACTATCTGATTGGGTACAGCGGATGACAACCTGACCAGCGACGTGATGTTCAGCGGTCTGCCGGGTCTTTTTTGCTCCACACCATTCTTAGGAGGCGGTGCATAGCCCTGTGCGATATCCCATATCAGATCAGCAATTATATGAAGGTTTGAGGTCAGGTTTATTTATTTTTTTAAGAAATGAATATTTATTTAGCATTAAACTGATTAAAAGTGACAGTAATGACTTTTACGTTGTTACAAAAGATTTTTATTTCAAATAGATGCGGTTCTTCTATAGGTCATAATATCTCAAAAAGGCTTTTAGTATGCAGTGTTTTTCATCCCTTTAAAAAAAAATGAACAACAGCCATTAAACCTGTTTGCACAAATGTACAAATTATAACAATATTACTGTCATCTTTCAAGTCATCTGCAATAAGCAATGTTCCCTTTAAACTAACAAATTATGCATTACATCAGTAATCTCTGTTTTTGGGGGAGGACTGAGAAAATTAAGCAACGATTTATGCAATTACCTATTTAAAGGATTTAGTCTGCATAAATTTGTAAATATTGTCTTTGTAATCATCCAGTGTTGTTTTGAGATCATGTTAAGTTAGAAACAGTTCAACATTTAAAATAAGGTCTCTATGCTCTGATGAACAAAAGAACATCCTGCATGAACTTCCCCGCAATGAACTCTAATCAGAGTATGGACCTACAGTGCCTTGCGAAAGTATTCATACCCCTTCATTTTTTTTTTCCACGTTTTGTTATATTGCTGCCTTATGCTAAACTGCTTTAAATTACTTTTTTCCACAATCTATCTCCATACACCATAATGGTAGAGCAAAAAACAGGTTAACATCTTTGCAAATTTATAATAAAAAAAAAAAACTTAAATTATTCCATTGCGCAAGTATTCATACCCTTATCTGGGACAGTTAAAATTGAGCTCAGGAGCATTCACATTGCTTGTAGATGTCACTACACATCGAGTGAAGTTAACCTGTGGCAAATTCAATTGAATGGATATGATCTGGAAAGGCACACACATCTTAATAAAAGGTCTAACAGCTGATAATGCATATCAGAGCAAAAACCAAGCCCTGAGGTCAAAAGAACTGCCTGTAGAGCTCAGAGACAGGATTGCGTCAAGCCACACATCTGGGGAGATGAGAAAAAAATTCTGCTTCATTGAAGGTTCACAGAAGCATGTAGTCACTGTTACCCTTAATGGAAGATGTTTGAAACAACCAGGACTCTTCCTAGAGCTGGCCTCCTGGCCAAACTGAGCAACTGATGGAGAAAGGTTTTGGTTGGTGTGGTGACCAAGAACCTGATGGTCACTCTAGTTGACCTCCATGATCATATGTGGAGATGGGAAAAACCTACAGAAGGACAAACACCACTGCAACACTCCATCGATTTGGGCTTTATGCTGGTGTGACCAGACTCAATCCTCTCCTCAGTGAAGACACATGAAAACACACTTAAAATTTGCAAAAAAGCACCTAAAGGACCCTCAGACTCTGAGAAACAAGATTCTCTGGTCTGATGAACCTCAATTCTAAG